ATCTCAACACTGCCGTGTGACACAATCACAGAGTGGACAGTGATGGTACATGAATTTGAAGCGGTATACAGCACTTACTATAGATTACCTGATACAGGAAGCCCTGAGCAGGAAGTTCATTGTTCGTAAGGATGTGCAAGACGGTAAAATTGCTAAAAGGGTACAGTTTCCGGCAAAAAAAAGCCGAGATAATTACTTGTCTTTGATGAGTCCATTATTAAAGACTCTTGCCGAGCGTTTGTGTGAGAAATGAGACAGCGCTTATCAGGCGTCGCTCTGATCCATGTTATAGTCTGTTAAAAAACTATCACATAGAGCTAGCGATAGACCAACCAACAAAGTATTTTACTCTTGGTTGGACAGCGACCAAATCTCGAAAATCAAATCCTGTATCCCAAGACGATGGCTTTTATCAGAAGAGCGGAAGAAGATGAGGAACTAACTTACTATAACTGAGCTTGGTAACGCTGTCCAAAGCATTAACAAGCTCGGTGATAGAAAAGTTAATCTCTTCACTCGGTGCCAGTTTCCTATATCAGGAAGGCTCAAAAATATTAAAACTTATGCATGCTTATTAAAAGTGGAATCCAAAGAGTGTTCTGGTGCTGATACCGAATTGTAAAAATGCTGCAGAACAGTAGTGTTAATTACATGTCCTTGAGGTATCATCGTTTGCTCATGAGAGGTAGTTATTTAATAATCAATGCGGTACAACCTCGAACAAAATTTCTGGTTGTCGCTGGAGAAGCTATGTACATAACCATCTTAAAGATTTATTTGTTCGTAGTAGTGTTCATTGCGGAAAGTGGGGTATAAAAATTCACATCAAACGCCTTCGGGCTAAACTCGAGTGAGTGCCACCCTTCAACGAGGCAAACAAAGAAGCCGTTGTACTACTGGCGCAAGTACAGTGTACATTTTGATGGCTCGGCCTACCAATCTTCTTAAAATGGATTTCAAATGGTGCTGGAAGCTGCAAGACACGATTTTTCTCTAGACTAGGTAATGTGAATGTGGATAAGTATTCTGATTCGGATCTTGTTAGATTCAAAATGTCCACTACACGTGGTCTAAGACATTTCAGCCATTACCATAGTATACACCCAAGCAGATATTGATCGATTTTGAACGCGTGATATCTCTATGTCCTCCTATCTTCAACAAATTCTTCATACGGAACGATTTAGAGTGTGAAGTTATGTCTTAGAGGCTGCATAACTCGCCAACGATGCTTATATGTTCGTTGGCGCAAATGTTAAGGCCGCGTCGTATACGCGAACAAGCCAATCCAGACATCTTTTGATTCACATACGCGTGAACACCTGGAGAGTCAGATATGAGGAATTGAGATCATCTACGTTCGAGCAGAGCTCGAGTGTATGCGCGAAAGTGTAATCTTTGATAATTTAGACAAGTGTCCCATTTGCGTCGGCAAAACCTTACTGGGATGCATTATTTGATTGCATGGTCTTTGGATATCCCAAAAATCCAGTGTCGCTATCCCAAGAAAAACCAGCTTGTTCAATACCTTGCAAATGTATAATACAAACTTCGCTGATATGACAGGATCATCATCGTAAAATGTAACCTAGTGTTAGAGTACGTATGCTTTAGAGAAATCTTTCCGTACGCACCTGTTCTGGTCTTTCGAATCGAAATTACCAAGGTCAATGACGCTTGGCCGATCAAAAGGTGCGCACGACTCCAATCAAATCTAAATGAAAGCATGAAAGCGCCATTACGCTAGCGCCTTGCCAGCTTGTAGCAGCAAAGAATAGCGATTCAGTCTATGACAAGGAGCCTTTGTCCTTATATATGATTCAAGGATACTTCTTTGGTTAAAAATATCTATTATATACCGGTCATGAATCTACAGACGAAGCGACGTCATCACCGCTTACTTGTCGAGGATGTAGAGATAATTAAATTTCCTTGCGCGGGTCGGGTTAATGTGGTGGTGGTTGTATTTTTGCGCCACCCGAAAAAAATAGCGCTGGATGTCACGATGATTACGTCACGCATCACCGATGGAGTGTACGTGTCAAGCACAACATGTTTTGCACTGTGGAAAGCTTGCCAAAGCAGATATCATCTTCGGTTGTCGCAATATAACAGTACAGAAAGTGCGTTTTACCGCTTTTTTGCTCAAGGCTTGCTGTATTACATTATGAACTCGTCTTTTTTTATCAATCAGTAATTCGTCGTTCATAAATCAAGGACATTTCACTCTATCAGACCTACTAATGACTTCAAGTGAGATAATCAATCAATATCAACGATCAGTAGACCCGAAGAAGGAGAATGTTCTCTTGTACAGAGCGTAGCTCTTTTCGGAGTCGAATATAATTGATATCGACCTCCACGAGATACAACAAAAATTGATGAAATCGGCATTTTCTGGAGAGGTTCCTGAAGAGGTGTCCGTCGGTCGACTCAGCCTAAAATCTAAATCTGAAATCTTTGTTCGTTTCTGCTATAGCGGATGAGATCAGCAAATCGCACGTGTAGCACCTGAAAATATTATGGCGCTGATCAGTAATTATCTCAATACATCCATTTTGAGATTTGTCGTATCTGGATCTTACAAAGCGCACCCTGATCGAATCTCACCGATCAGAATTAAATTCGCATTTGACGCACTCGCTTGCTCGGTGCTTGCCGAATTTGTGCGAAGATTTGTAAGAATCTGGTAATACTTACAAGAATCAACCGCCATTTGGCTGATAAGACCTTTTAACTCTCATAAACCAACAATTTTTGTTTCCTTGACGGATAGACCAGCAGTTTGGACACACGCGTTAAACCTGATAAGGCAGCGTAAACAATCTTGACGTATAGTTTGAAAACTTCCAAAGTTGAGAAATCGGAAACAGTGTGTATTTTTGTTTTTAATTAGATATGACTAGCAAAATGCGCTACGCTCTGTCTAATACGAAGCCCAGTTCAAAATCATGTATACATTATTTCAAGCCCAGTCTAGAGGGTTTGATGTGACGGGACATATACTGTAATCATGTGCACTTACCTCTTACAGACTTTACGATACAATAGTACAAAATTCACTTGTAAATGTGAACATTCATCAATAACGATTTTTCAGTATTATGTAGTCGATGAAATTTGCAAAAAGGAGCAAATGTGGTACACATGGACTGCTAGCCGCGCGTCAGACACAATTTTTACGGGTTAATAATTAGAAGTTGTGAAAGCACTGCTAATCTTTAACGTATATATTCTTACACCTAGTTGCGGTGGACGTTACACTACAAGTCTGTGGATCCTCAAACAGAGAAATTCTCGACTCGTTCTGTCTGTGTTATTTGCGTGAGACTAGCACAACGGATCTCTCCAATTTACATGTACCATTACTCTGATATATTGACTTCTGTATCACGATGCGGTTTCACAGTAGTACCGTAGTTAACAAAAAGATTAATTGAGGCATTCTCAAATAGCGATTGAGTTGACATTAAAAGTGACCAATTCTCACAAGAAATTGTGATTGTTTTGTGAACTTTTGATGCACTATTTTCAAAATTCAGACATGTAAAAAAGCTTTATTCCAGGCCCAAAGATCGCTGATTGTTGATGAGTGATTGATATACACCGTTCTCCTCGTGTTTCGACAAGTATTCAGCCAATGCAGACTGATTTGCACAACGAAAATCCTGTCTGTAGGTTGCAAAGGCCTTTGCAACCTCTGAGCGAGTCGACATGCGGGCATTGATACCTTCGATCGATTGTTCGAGCCAAAAAATGACGTCCTTTCGATCGACCTTGTATTTGCCTCCTAAACCAGGATCAGATGTAATCTTCCACGAGACGTAGCGCGTCTTGAACGCCTGTTCGATCGGTTTGTTGGCAATCGGATCGCATACTTGAATCGAACTAGCACATCCTGGAGGAATACCTCCCAAAGTGATGTTCAGGTCAGCAGCTTTCTCTTTGACTAGAT